GAAAGGGGAGAAAAATGAACTGCCCCTACCTTCAAATGATTTCCTCAGGATTTAAAGGGGGGTTTATGAACTACAATATAAAATTACTGCCACAGATCCTCAAGGTGCCCAGGTGACCACACACAATGTCTCATCGATCCAGTGGTCACCTTTATCTTCTCTGCCTGTCAAAGGTGCTCTCCCCTGTGTTCTTTGTTTCTTGTTCTTATGTGGTAGAACCCAAGTCATTTGTATTGGGGTGGTTTCCAAGTCAATGACTTCACAGTGGGATGTGGTATGAAGAACAAGCCACACAGCAAAACCCACAGCAAACAACTTCAAGAGAGACCGCCTCCCACTCAGCTGAATGCCTCAGCAGTCCCATACAGCTGTTTGCAGTGGTTGTATATATACCTCTGGTTGGTTTTCAAACACTCATCTTCACTGGATGGGGGAAGTGGAAGGGAGCTAATGAATTTGGGTTCTCCTGTACTGGAAGCTTCTGTTGGCTGTGACAGCTTCAGTTTCATACAGGGCCCTAGACATTAATGGTATTTTGTAATACATGTTGGTGCTCATCGTTACTACAGTTAGCTGCATTCATCAGACCTGAGTACAGTATTTAAATAATGAGATGGACAGTAACATCTACTCCTTAAAATTATTGTGGTTGCTGACATAGCTAAAGACTTAAGAAACGGGCTGATAATGGAGTACTATTATCATCTGATTAAGAACTGTGATCCTGCATCTGCTGCTGCTTCTGTTAGAAGTTTAACTCCTGAGACTGAGGTCCTAAAGTCAGTGAGAGTTAGACCTCTAAACAGCTTTTAGGATCTGGGCCAGAGCTTGAGCCAGCTGTGAATGTTTGATTTCTCCAGGTACATTATTAATACTCTGTGACTGGCAGCCAGCAGGTTTTTGCCTCTACCAGCAGCTTATCTGGAAACGGTTGTCTTTGCTTAAGCAGTTAACAAGAATTCTTTTTTCTTTTCTTCTGCATTGTAGAGTAGATCTCAGCTATGTGCGCACAAGTGTCTTTCTAGGCCTCT